TAAGGCTCCATGAGGAAGCAAGCTGAGTGATAGAGAATAAAGGTGGTTCCGGAGGCCTGAATTTATGCCCATGATTCAAAATGGAGAAGGTGGTAAGTGGCACCAGGGACAGGATGGCAACGGCCCCAGGGTAGAGGAGTTTGAGCTTGGATGGTGGAAAGCAAGTTTGAATTCTCCTAGATTATCAAATTTCCATTGCAAACAGAAAGTTACTCTGCCTAAGATCTGTGTGCATATTTTCTGGTGAGAGTATCACAATCCCACCCCCACTTCAGGGAGTCCCTCCCTACTACTCACCCTACCGCCAACCCTGCACCTATACCTACCCCTGACTCCAAAACCAGGTCCTTGCCTTCCTCACACTAAGCTTAGCCTCCTGAGCCTCTGGGCTCCCAAAGCATGTGTTCTGATGCAGTTAAAAGTGTGATTGTTGATCACCAAAATACTAACAATAAAGCACTAAAACACTTTCATATGTTTGTCGACTGGATGACTCCTATAGTGAGAATTGCTAAGATACAATGTTTACTTATTAAACAGAGGGAGATTTGGAACTTTTTCTATACAGGTATTCCCCTGAGTAGATTGATTCAATGTTCATGATAGTCAACCAAATGAGAAAGTTTATTTTGGCAATAGGTGTACAAGATATTTTTTTTGCCCTCATTTTGTTCTTAATCATTATGCCCTTGCAAAATAAACAACACACTTTAATGCAAAACAAACAATGGAAAGCAGGTGGTGACCTGATTTGCATTGGATGACTCAAGTTTTCCCCAAGAACATTCTTAGGGAATGTATCAGGCAACAATTTTCTCTTCTACCCATTTGCTTTTATACTTTAATAAAAGAATAAATAGACTTTACCTTTTTTTAGCAGTTTTGGATTTTCAGAAAAATTGAGTGAAAAGCACAATTCCCCACCCCACCCCATGCCCAATTTTCCCTATCTTGCTTTCCCTCCCTATCTTACAAATATCTTGCTTTAGTGTGGTACAATTGTTATAATGAATGAGCCAATATTAATATATCATTATAACTAAAGTCCATAGTTTACCCTAAGGGTCCTTTTTTATATTGTACATTCTATGAGGTTTGACAAATTTATAATGACCCATAACACAATTATAATACCATGTAGAATAATTTCATTGCCCAGAGAATCCCCTGTGCTCCACCAATTCATCATTCCCTCCCAAGTCCTCCCAAACCTGACAATTTACTTTTATTAGTCATACAATGACTTTGGAGAAAATGAGGATCCAATAAATATAAGCATTGTTACCTATATTTAAATTAAGCCCCCATCTTTGTCAGTAGAGAGCTTATATTTTTTTCTACAACTATAAGAAATGTGTGTACAATTTTGAATTTTGGCTGTTTTTAATCATTATTTCATAGATCTATTTCCATGTGCAAGTGCAAGCTGCACATCATCGCTAATCTTGTCACAAATCTTAAGGCAAAAGAAGACTTTGCCTTCTTTTCCTTTTGCAATTACAGAGTGGGATTCGGTTAACAGAACAATTACTTCATATAAGCTGCATTAGAGACAACTGAACAGGAAAAAAACCCCATCCATTTATAACTAACTTGTGCTGTGTACTAATAAGAACCTGTTTTAAATTTCCATGTCAATTTACAACCTTCCCTACTGTACCAGGTAAGATTAGTGGCTATTAAAAATACCAACAGGACAGGGCTGTCTAAAGATATACTCAAAACTGTACAAAAAAAGTGTAGGGTTTACAAACAAAACTTACAAAGGCTTCCATTTCAGTTTTTTTCTTTAAAACAAGTGTACAGGGGGCATTAAATACTTTATATGTGAGAGAAGACCCCTGCTAGAACCAACTTATTCATCATCTTCTTCATCTTTCTCCTGTTCCTTCTTTTTACTGCATTTTTCAGCTTTGGCAACTCCCACTTTGTCCGCATCAGGCTTACATTTCACTTGGCAGACAGCTGTATCATTCTTTTCCCACAGCGGAGCGGCCTTCTCCTCCTAAGGCTGCTTGTCATCCTCAGCGGTGCTACTTCACATCTCCCAGTTCCTTTGCAACATCACCAATGGATCGGCCAGGATGTTCTCTCATCTGGGGACAATACCCAGAATAAAACTAGAAAAAGCCAAAGGACGGATCTTGGGTGCACGGGGGCCCTTGAATTGGTTTCCCTTCTGGGGCGATGTGAATTGTCAGTTCTCTTTTATAACAGACTGCAAAGCGGCCTCTGCTGTGTCTTCAGACTTTCCTTTCTCTTTGGCAGATGTGATCTTCCACTTTTCTGAACACTTCTTAGAAAATGCTGAGATGACCAAAGTATCTAGATGTTTCTTCTTGTGCTCCTCCCAGCAAGTTTGCACAAAAAATGTAGATGCCAGGACTAGGATGCTTTCAAACTGCCTTAGCCCCAGGGCATTCCTGTCCACTTAGAGCATCACACAAAGGGAGTTACCAGGAGTCTGTTATCATGCTCCTTTGATGTCCACCACCTGAGCCACAGCCAGCCTGCACTTTCCTCAGAGCAGCTGCCGGCCCCTACCATTGTGTCCCTTGATTCACTGGGTAACTTTGCTCCCCAATCACACTGAGGACCCCTGTTTTGGTTCTGTTCCCCTGCCCACCAAAGTGACCATTTCCTGTCCCCAGCCCTGAGCCTACCCTGCCTTGCAATCCAGCCCAGGATGCCCAACATCCTGGAAGTTCGAAGCAGACCACACCTTGGCAGCGGGAACAGCCAGGCAGGTAGATGCATGCTGCATGGGAGGGAAGTGTTCCCATCTGCCAGCCCCTCCTTGATGGAAAGGAAAAATCCACACAGACCATGAAAGAACGTGTATCTTCAGGCTCCCTCTCTTTACTGCCCATGTCTCTGTTGCCAAGGGTGGCCACAGGCCAGGGCCTCCTCAGACAGGTCCTGAGGAATCAAACCCTCTGGAAGGAGGAGGCTATGAGAGGCTCTGAAACACAGGCTTCTTCACTCTCCTCGTCAGGTCTTCTGTCAGCTCTCTGAATCACTGAAGGGCTTACTATTGTAGAAACAGAGAGAACACACTCAGGCTGTTTATCCAGAGCTTGCTGTGGCAAGGAAGTCATCGCTTGCATTTGGCAGAGATGCAAAGACAGAGGAGTGGACACCTTCATGGTGAAGCAGAGAGGGAGAGCTTCAGGCATGCTCTGATTAGAGGCTGTTGGCAGGGGGAAGTTGGTGAGGGGCTAGCTAGAAGCAGGATAACTTATATTTAGGGAGGATATCTGACTTTCTCTGGCTGACCCTGAGTTGAAAGTGGAAACAAAAAATGGACCCCAATAAGGACCACTGACCAGATACTGCCCATTCTGGTTGCTGCAGGGATTGAGAGTCAGAGTCTATGTATTGTTACAGGCATGTACATTCACACATATCATCAGAGTCTCACTAGAGGTCTTGTTTCATAAGCTACAAATCCAGGAATTGCCCTAATGCTTCCTTTTCTCCTACCCCAATTCATACCATCACCAAAAAATTCACCTCCTTGGATATTTGTCAAGTCTACCACTTCTTTCCCTCTCCAGCATGGCACCACCAAACTATTTTCATCTTTCCTTTGATCTGCTAAATAGCCTCCTAACTTTTTCTGCCAACCTCTACTTCTCCCTCTTCAACTTACTAAATTTTTCAAAAGGTAGCCCCAATTATAGCATCTTAAATGATGCTTAAATTATATCAACAACTCCCATTGGTTTTAGTATAAAGACTAAAATCTTACTGTGGCCTCCAGAGCCCTGCATAGCTCCCATCATGCTGACTTCTTGTGCACCACGCAAACTACACCAAGGATTTGCTGGAAGACTGTGGCAGCTCCTGAATGAAAGAAATAGGTGAAAAGCCAGGATAGGGGCCAAGGCAGCTCTGGGGACCAGGCAATAGAACAAAATGAAGTCTAACTAAGGCACTTCTATTGGGAAATATCAGCTCCAACTATACCCACTGCTTGAGTGATTCTACTTAAAATCCAAAGTCCAGAGGAAAATGTAGTGGATTTGGCAGGTATACCATACCGTCCCTTGGCTAGGATGCCTTGAATAAAAGTCCCAACAAAACTTTAAACAATGAAAAGAATACCCCAAACCAAATTTGGAGTTCTCACCAGGAAGAAGAGGAGGAGTGGATGTAGGCTGGTCCCCAAATCAACCAATGTCCACCGAGTATATGTTCTCACTACCTACATTGCCTTCCTGTTCCCTCTTTGGTTAGTTCAACCCTACTCAATTTTTAGATTCCAGCCTAATTATCCTATCATTAAAGAAACCTCTCTCTACCTTGCCAAGGAAGTCAAAGTACTCTATTCTGTTACCCCACAGTTCCATACATGTCTCCTTCATAGCACTTGCTATTGCTGTAATTTTACACTGTTGATTGTTTTAATTACATCCATCTTCTCTCAACTGACTAAATAGTTCACAAGAGCAGAACTCGTATCTGCTTGTTCACCGTGTTATCTCAGTGCCCAGCACAGTGCCTGGAAAAACAAAGACATGCAATAAACATTCATTAATATGAGTCATATAAGAAACATGTCATCCTTCCCATGAAAGGCTAAAGCAGGTGTATTTTTAAGCAACTTTTTTCCAACTCATACCACATTACATAATTTTATCATTTAATTTTTACAAGAGTTCAGCAAAAACCCACTTAGCCCATAAAGAAACTGAGGCACAGGGACTTAGGAAATTTCTTCTAATCACATAACTGGTAAATTTGATCCATGGAAGATATAAATCTAAGTTTGCCTAATTGAAAACCTCAAAGTCAAAACTACTACATGGTATTGCCTCTACATAACATTTGGCTATCGCCTTAATACAAAGCCTTTCGATATTGAACCCATTCATCTGTAAAACTGACTTTCAAATAAGTTCATTTTCATGTAATCTAGATAAGTCAAAAAAGCTCATTTCATTGGTAAAATACTGATCCATGGAAAGAATAAAATAAATATTAATGAATTGACAAGGAATTATGCATTCCAAACACCATGATTTTTTCTGTCATTGTTGATAAATGACATTGAGTATGAATGAAGGAACAGAGCTTGGTGGAGCCATGATCATCTAAGGTGACCTGCTCCCTAAGTTTCACCCATAGATTATAAAAACATTTCCTTTTTCCAAACCAAAAGGGTTTCATTCAGTTATGTCCTGGCAACGAGGGAAGATTGGCAAAGCAGCACAAGGAGCACCATCCATTCTCAGGCCTTATTGGCGAAGAGGTGAGATCAGCTACTGGAAACACGAATGTCACTGAGCAAAGAAAAGCAACACTGGCAAATATCAGGTGGTGTCTCTTCAAATCGATCATAGCAATGAGAGAGCCAAGATGTAATAGTATTACTATCAGGGGATAGTAAGGAAAACAAGGTAGACTATCATTTCTCTTTTATTGCAAGCTGGAGTCCCCCAACCTGCTAAAGACATGATTATAGGTAACAGCAGCACTTGATGGCCACAATGTGTTCCTGCAGGTTACACATATTTCGGGGGGAAGGATGGGGGGCAGGGATGGAAACTGACTGTACCAGAGCAAGTCACTAAACTATCTAACTGGTGTTTTAGACACATAATTAGAGCTTGATTGATACAGCCGTCTGTATTAACGAGTAATAGGTTCTGCCAACTCGAGGATCCTTGGAGAACACTGTGCTTTCAAAGCAGCTGGCTTGACTTTAAAGACTTCTGGATCATAATATACAATATGCACAGGAGTCCTGAAATGGGAGAAAAAAGGAAATCAATTTGAAATAAGATGAATAGGTAAGGAAACTAACATTTCTCAAGCATCTGCTGTGTGGCAGGCACCGTGCTGTTGCCCAGTTTTGATTTTCATTAGCACCCCAGGAAACAGGCATCACAATCTCTGCTATACAGATAAGGAAATGAAGGCTTGGAGAAGTTAAAAGAATGATCTGTGGTCAAATCCAGATTTTGTACCTATGAGATTCCAAAGAGTTTCTTCTTTCCACACTAAGTAAATTCTGGAAATTTCTCAATAATTTGGCAATATTAAAATAAGCCAGTTAATCCTCTGGTGGACTTAAAGAAATCAAATTTTTTAAATTTTCCTCCATCAGCATTTTATCACCAAATTATAACTTTGCCACTGGAATATAGATTGAGCACCTGATCTAACTCTTCCTTGTCCATTAGTTAATGAACAAAGAATCAGTTTTCTTTCCTTTGATGCTGAACTTAATTTTATTAAAAAACACATTATAAATTAAAAAAAATATTTCATTACATAAGAAGTAACATAGTTCATGTGCCCTGAGTTCAAGACTGCTACCCTTTTTCAGTGTCCCCTGATGATGCTTAAAATAGGCACAGGTATTATCCCTTGAGGGTAACACAATGAATTGGGATTCAGGCAAGTTAAGAGGTCGTCTAAAAATAAATAAATAAATAAACAGGAATTACAGGCAATTTCCCTGTTGAATGTATTTTCTTATGTATTTGAAACAGATCATACATGTATATGATACCAAAACACTGAAAATTACGAAAGCCTGTTTAGTGAAAAGCAACTCTTCCTCCCATCCCTGTTCTCTAGGCCAACAAAAGTAACGTGTTATTAGCTTCTTGTACACTCTTCTGAGATATTATAGGCATATGCAAGAACATACATGGCAGGTATGTATTTTTTTCTTACCAACTGCAACATATTATGGGCTTTGGTCTGCAACTTGTTTCACTTAACAACATATGTTAGATATAGTCCCATGTCCAAACTTATGGCGTTATCTCCAAGATCTAAATTTCAGTTAAAAGCTAGTCTACTAACTCTAACTGTAGCCTTTTCATTATGGTAAGAAGATCATAGATTTGTAGTAAGACATGTAACAAGTGAGAGAGATTTTCTGAATATTTCTTGTATTGCTACAATTCTTTAAATTGACCTTGTTAGGTCAACTTTCCCCTCTCCCTAGCAATCCCAACCTTTCCCACCCCATTTTAACCTTAATTGGCATACCTTCTACTTCCACTAGCAAGTTCTTGAACCCTGGGAGATACTTTGGAATGCAGAGCAGCAGGAGATACCTGCCAGCAGGGGTCACGGGCAGGTAAAAAATCTTGATGAAGAGGTTTGGCCTGAGCTAGAGTTACTGTTCGAGGGCTAGGTTTAGCTAGCAAGGCAGCACGGGATATCTAAAGCAAAAACAAAGGACACAAAAATATATCCAAATTTCACATTTCTCTATCTTTATAACTGCATTCCCATTTCTTTTCTTACTACTTTTGTAGTAAGAACACTCCTTGCTGGTCTTCCTGCCTTCATTCTCACCCCTGTACTGCCCAGCCTTCAGTGGCACTTAACAAGGGAGCAAATAAGCAAAGAATGAGAGCTCTATGTGATTTACGTGCATCATTCCCATTTAATCATCAGAATAATTCAATGAGATAAACATTTTCTAAGTTCAAGTCAGATCATGCCACTCTGAAGTGGCTTCCTAATTTGTTTAAATATCATTTAGGCTCCTTACTGTGACCTGGAAGTCTCTACATGGCCCGGTTACTATCCCACTCCTGATCTCATGTTCCTCCTCTTCCTGTCCCACCTTGGTCTCTATGGTTCTAGCATCACCAGGCCCCGCTGGCGCAGCTCTCTCCATTCCAGAACCTTTGCATTTGCTGGTTCCTCTGCTTGAAATACTCTTTCCTGCATCTTGGTATGGCTGCCTCTTCATCATTCAGATCTCTAGACTTAACTATCACATCTTGAAGAAGTGCTTCCCTGACCATTCTAGATAAATCTCCCTCTTTTTTTTTTTTTTTTGAGATATTGGTTTACAACACAGTATGTGATTCAGAGGCACAGGATCCCACCTCCTCAGATGACTGTCCTCACAGCACACCCACCATTAAGGCTCCCATAGTCCTCTACCATAGTCCATTGTGCCCCCTTTCCACCATTGTGGTTTTACCGCTCCTCCTCTTGCAGCTTTGATTCTACAGTCATTTTTCTAGGGTTTGTTATTGGTTTGATTTTATCTAATCCTTTTGTTTTGTTTCTCTGTATTCCAAATATATGAGTGAAACCATCTAGTATTTGTCTTTCTTCTTCTGACTTCTTTCCCTTAGCATTATCCCCTCTAGTTCCATCCATGTCATCACATATGGCAAGGGTTCATCTTTGTGATGGCTGAGTAGTATTCCACATTTAGCTAATCTACACCTCTTTCCTTGGGCACTCGGATTTTTTCTATAACTTGGCTATTGTAAATAGTTGCAATGAACATAGGAGTGTAAATATTCCTTCAAATTAGTGTTTTTGCATGTTTTGGGTAAATACCTAGGAGTATAATTGCTGGATCATATGGTAGATCTATTGTTAGTATTTTGAGACACTTCCAAACTTTTTTCCTTAGGGGTTGGACTAGTCTACAAATCTGCCTTTCTAACTACCATCTCCTACAGTATTTATTCAATCTTCCTCATAAAGCACTGACCAATAGCCAAGTTAGCTCATCTGTTTCATTTACATGCTATTGTCTGCTTCTTCTCATTAGAATACAAACAGCTTTTTTTTTTTTTTTTGTGGGACCTTTCCCAGTGGCCAGGGAACAAACCGATGCAGCCCAACACTCAACCACTGCGCCACCAGGGGAGGCCCTAGAATACAAACTGCTTTAAAACAAGAAACACTTGGGCCTCTCCGGTGGCGCAGCGGTTGAGCGCTGGGTTGCGAAGCTGCCTGCGGCCTCTGCGACGCCGGTTTGATCCCCAGCTGCTCCCTGGCCACAGGAGGAGGGTCCCACATGGCGCACAGACCTCTCCTGCCGCCCGCTGCTCCCCTCAGCAGTGTACCTCGGTCCTTCTGCCGGCTCTGCTCCCCGCTCTGGCTCTGGTGAATTCTCTCACCCTCCCGCGCTTCTGACTGTACCCAGTGCATGTATAAACAAAACAAATAAATAAATAAAGCATGCCTCTATTAAAAGGATTTAAAACAAGAAACACTTGTTTTCCATAAGCTAGATTAGGCTTTGGTACATAATGGCACTAAATAAATATATGCTGACTGATTAAGGGATCAATTCCATTTGGTTTTTCTCTGAAACACATACATCCTAGGTTGACTTTCTATTATGCTGCTCTATTGGTGAAGTAGGAAGAATGAAATACAGCTACTATTCTCCCTTTGAATTCATCCTTTGAATTCCATATCAAAGAATGGAATTCCATATCAAATTTTCAGGTTCCCAGAGTGGGGTGAAAGTGGTCCAACCTCCTAGTCAACATGATCATTAAATATATACTGAAAACTCAACTGTTAATGGGCACCTCATTGCCACTACAATTTAGGGAGTGAACATGGCAGGCTCTCTGTTGAGCCCCTGCCTTATCTGTAAGTATAAGTCACAACAGTTCTCCAATAGGAAGTATTATCTTGATTTTGCTCCACCCAACTTCAAGGCCATCCCAACTTTAGGACTTAGGCCTTCATCTCCTCTCGATTAGACCCTCACTTCTCAGCTTTTCACTCAGATGACTCTCATCATTCAGGTTTCAGCTCAAATATCCCTTCCTCAGAGAGGCCTTCCTTGACTACTATGTGCAAAGCAGCTAATTCCACATCCCTATGCATAGCCATTCATTTTCTATGTTATTTTCCTCGTAGCACTTATCATTACCTGACATTATCTTATCTGTTTACTTATATTTTGTCACCTTTCACTAGCATGGAGCCCTCTCATTAGTTCACTGGGCATGGTGGATGGCACACAGTAGGCATTCTAATGCCTGTTGAATTAATAAGGCTCAGAAAAGTTGTCACAGCTTCATAGAGCTAGTAGTTGGGAGGCTGGAATTTGAATCCAGTTTTTCAATGATTCCAAAGTCCATGCTCTTCACTCTCTACTCCCATCCCTCTGCAAAAAATTGGAGTTAGGTCTTTCTTCCAGCCACAGACCACTCTTTCAAGGTTCTCTTTTCCAATGACTTTGACTTATGCCCCAAAGAGGCAAAACAACCACCCAGGAACAACCAGAAAGTGAACTGAAGGAGTGCAGGGCAGTGCTGGCTTACAGGTCGGATGGGCCTTTCACTTTTTTCTCTTTCATAGCACAGACCCTCTATCTTGATCCTTGGATGGGCAAGGTCTATAGTTCTTGGAGTTGCAATAGCATTTAGGGTAGAAAATGATATCTTGGTGTCAATCTAAGGGAGAAAACAAAAATAGTACCTATAAATATCAAATAACAAGCTGTGTTTAAATCAAAGTCACAAAGTATGGTCTGACTTTGAACCAGACTCCTCAGCAAACTCAACAGAAAGGATGAGGATCATGGAGCAACCCATGATTATAGTTGAAAGGATCAATTTCCACCCTTTTCAAACTAGCTTGTATGGACTTCTACCCAGTTTTTCATAACTATTAAACCAAAGATGAGGAGGAAATGGCAATGTTACACATTGGCCAAGAGATAAATGGTGATGCAGATTTATGGAGCAATAAACTCAGCCGAGAGTGAAGGCTGGCTTAGCCCTACCACTTGTGAACATGGGAAGGGAGGGAGAGGCTGCTTTGATCTTAACTATTTTTCTCTTTGGAAATTGGAACTTACATTATCATAAATCACTGTACTAAAAGTGAACTGAAATGACTCTCATCTAACTGGAAGAGATAAGAAAAACAAACCAAGAAAACGAGAGACAGAACCATTTATGTCCATAGACAATGGGTCCTAATTCCCCAAGGTAGTTCACACTATCTTAATTGTGGGGATGTGTTCAGATTGCATGGTCTTCTATTTAAATTACTGTATCCAAACTCAAAACTTACAATAGGTTGAGGGGAAATATAATTGAAAATTGCAAATAAAATAGGGTTTTAACTGTGGGTGGAAAAATAATAGACAAGGTATAGTCCAAATCCCCTTCTGTATTATTTAAAACAAATGATGATACTAACACTGACAGTGTTTTACATGCATTAATTAATTTATTCCTCATCTGGGGTATCCTTTTTATTTCTATTTCACTAATGGAGAAACCAAGGTACTGGGAAATTCAATCATTTGTTTAAATTTACATAATTAGCAAGCAGTAGATGGCTGGAATTCCAACCAAAGGTCATATGTCTCTCTATAACACCATGAAGTACTAATTAAACATTTTAACCATTTTGGTGAATGAAGCTTTGTCTCTTGCTAGGTGTTGAGGAAAATTAAAGAAATACATTACAACCATTGCTTTCAAGTAAGGCTTACAGTTGAAAGGGAAATAAACAAGTATTTGTTAATTCATTAGACAAATAACACTTAAGCATTTATATTATGAAAACACAACAAAAAAATAAGGAAACAGTCCTTTTCTTCAAAGAAACTGTCAGCTAGAAGAAACAGACCTATGGGTAAGTAATTAAGGTTATTTGATAACTATAAAAGAGAATAAAGTATTGAGAGATTGGAAGAAGAGTGGAAAAGTACAAGAAGGATTTTCTTTATCCCCTTTATGAGACATTAGATTGGCCTTGAAGGAAGAATCAGATTTCTGACAAGCAGAGGGACAAGGAAAAGTAGGGAGGATGTAGGAAGGAAGACGGGGAAAAGTCTGAACGTGGAATCAACAAAGCAGGGAGCAGACTGTCTCTGGTGTGCAGAGACATTGGATATGTAAATGCATTTGAAACTAGGTTCGGTGTGAGAGGCGGTCAGCCTATCCAGCAGAAGACTGTCAAGTATTTTTGCCAGAGAAGAGGCATGATAGAGCTGGAAATTAACCTTTTCAGCATGTGTGAACAAGATTGAAGTAGGGACACAGGAAACTGGAAAGGACAATAAGAAATATGCCCAAAAAATATGAAAGAAGTATGTATATAGTCTACCCCATTCTAAAGCATTTTTAATGTTATAATAATTTAAGTAATATGATAATTGCACAAGAATAAGTCAATGTAGCTAGAGAGAGGATTCAGAAATATGATCTAAGACAGCTCTGCTCAGTTTTTTGGTCTAGAACCTCTTTACACTCTGAAAAGTGACTGAGAATTCCTAATACTGACGGATTTTAAAAAATGTATTATTTCATCTAAAAACAATAACAAATTCATGATTATTAATGTAAATAACTCATGATACATAACTACATTTCCCATAACAAGAAAAAATTGTGAGAAGATTGATTTTACATTTTCAAAATCTCTTTACTATCTGGCTTAATAGAATACTATTGTTTTTGTTGAGGTATATGAAGAAAATCCAGTCTCACCGAGATACGTAGTACAAAAAGATAAGCATATTTTAATATCTTTACAACAATTACAGATATTCTTTTTTGATACTACAATAAAATTTAACAAATGGTAGTTTCTTTAATGTTAGTTGTAATGTACAACCTGAAACTATGCTGATGACCTTTTCATACTCTAAAAATTCATGCCTAAAAATTTATTGGTTTATTATGCACATTGAATGAAACTTTTATTCATACAGGATTTTGAACTTGCAGATTTTTTGTGGGGGGCCTGGGGAATGTGGACCAGTTTTGGAAAATGTTGTCCTAATGTAAATAACATGGTGGTATTGTTGTAGAGCAACCCCGATACAAAACGGGGTGCCTGACTGTGGGTCCTCACCCGCGCGCTTAAAAGGACTTATCAATGCTCTACTGCAGGCACACGTGAAAGGTTAATAAAAGGTTTATTTACAAGGGAAAGGGAAATGAGGAAATGTACAGCTCTGGGAGAAAAGTGGGAGACAAAGTTTTAAATGAGTCCTACCCGATCCGCCGATCAGGAATCCCAAAATGGCGCTCTGAGAGCTGGCCGCCAGCCAGGAGTGGTGAAGCCAGGAGGCGAGCGATCGCGAGCCAGAGAGAGAGCAAGGCCCACGTGTTTGGTTTTTATATCCAACCTGGCTGCCCAACTCCACCCTCAGGTCCCAGCCACCCTCCCCTTGGTGGTGATGGGATTTGTCTTTCCCAATGTCCTGATGGCTTTAGTCTGGAGTGGGGGTGGAGTCCACAAAGCCTGTATGAGATTATCTCAGGACATTCTTTCCCCCTAACAATTTGTAATAAGGATGGCAGTGAACAAAAAAGGGATGGGGCAATGGAGAGAGAACTCTGAACCCTAACCTCTAGAACACCAGGGAATCTTTGGCAATGGAAAGGAAGATTTTTAGTCCATATTTTATATAAAAGCATTCTTCAAATGGAGTGAGGAATTAACTACTTTAAAAATAAAAAAGGAATCATAAAAATACTACAAGAAGATAGAGTTGCCAGTGCTATGCTGGTAAATGTTGAATAACTAGCTCTTCATAGAGAAAAAAAGGAGCTATTTGTAGTGCTTATCTGTTTCAGTGGCATAAAAATTCCCACCATGGCCAGTTTCAAACTACCAAGGTGATGTCACTAACTATGAAGTTGGGAAGACATGGGCACCACCAGCCAGTACAAGGACACACTGGAGGTCATTTCTAATTTCTTCCTGGGAAAGGATTTTCCAAACATAAAGCAATGGGAAAAAATTCAAAGGAAAAAGTTTAGTAGATTTTACTAACATTTGAAATGCTAAAGTTTTAACACCTCAAATGATTCCAAAGTAGCAAGAACAAAATTAAAAGGCAAGTTAGGGTGTTCTGCTCCCAGGGATAGCAGAACAGCTTGTATTGAACTAATCCTCTCGTTGAGGACAGTTATGGATACTGAACAAACTATTAATAACACAACCAACACCAACTCTTCGAAGGCACTGGAGAACAGTAAAAGGCAAGCATAAACCAGAGAACATATGACGAACGAAAAAAAGTAGTTCTTCCTGTATCTTCATGATTGAGAGAACAAAGCAAGGCAGGTGCTAAGCTTGGTGTGAAGGGAAAAGACGCAGTGGCCCTCAGCAGGGAGGTAGGGCCAGAACTTCAAGAGCAGGGCCAACCACAGAGGAGGGCTTGAGATATTAATCTGTGGCGATACGGACCTAAAATTAGTTGACTCCATAAAAGGGAGTAGAGAGGGAACTGACCAGAAAGAGTTAAGAAAATTTTTTGGAATAATGTTTTGAATCTTGATTGGGGTGATTATTATTAAATGGGTATATACATTTGCTAACATCTTATTAAACTTTAATAAGTTTACCCTTAAGAGTTATGCATTTTATATAAATTAGGACTCAAAATGTTTAAATTACAAGCTGGGGAAAATATTTGCAATGTACATAACAAAGAATTAATATTGCTAATGTGGAAATAACTGATGAATCAGTATAAGTACAAAAACTAGTAGAAAAATAAAGCCATGAATAAGATAAATTTACAAAAAACACATATGATAAATAAATGTGGGGAATGATTTGAATTTATTATCAGAGAAGTGTTTTTATTAATGAGATATTTTTAAATAAAATTATTATGCTGTAGAATGAATAACATCTAATTTTGTAAGATTCTGGGTGACAAAGCAAGTTGCTGCCAGAGAACACTTTAGGGCAATAAAAATGAACAGTTGGGTTGATTGGAGATTTTAAGTGTCTGGAGGAAAGAAATGATCAGCTCAGTCTTTTATTTCCATCTTAGAGTGTAGTTAAGGGTATAAAAAGCATTTATTAGACTTACCTAAAAGAAATCCTATCTTGTATGATGACAGAGCTAAAAATTATAAAAAATCAAACTTAACGTCAAATTCTTTGAGTTACAGCACAGATTGGATATTCAAAGTTAAATGATTTCCTATGTTAAAGTTAGGGCAATGGTTGGGAAGTAATGGAACCTTGAAAATTAGAATGGGGACATATGGGCAGATTCTAATGAAGGTAAACTTTCCTTATCATTAAAGCAATCTTTTCTCCCTGCCTGAGAAAGTTAACTCCTTGCCTGGAAAATCTGTAATGGCTTCCCCTAAAAAATTATCTGCAGGGAACTGCTGACCTACCCCTTCCATCTCTCATTGCCTTTAATCTGTCATCAGACACAAGTTCTGGCTGCCATAATAGCCTTCCATAAACTGCTCCCTCAGCTTCCATAATTGCTTAAGATCTAATTCTACGTCACTCCTACTGGTTCTGCTTCTCTGATCAAATCCTGACTGATACATTAGGCATAGGGTAGATGGAACAGTTTATTTGATGAGAAGGGAAAATAAATAAGAAGAGAAGAAAAACACACAGGTAGTTATCAGGGGAGTTACAAACAAGTTACATGTTACAAAGTCAATCAGAAACTGTTTCTTTCATATGGACCCACTTACATTTTTTGGAGGCACATAGTTTGGATCTATCTCTTTAGCTAATGAGAGTCGTAATATCCGGGGAGAAGGATCAGCTATTTGTAAAGAACTTTTTGGTAAGCAATTACTCAAGGACCTACAAGCAAATGGAACATAAAATAGCATTATAATAACTGTATTTTTCATTCTATAAACAATCTCCAATCAATTATGTATATATAAATACAATTTATATAATTACATATATAGAAGATAGGCAGGTATGTAGGTAGATAATTTCTCTCTTAGGAACTTCCTTTCCCATCATGTTGTTTTGTTTTGTTTACCAGAATAATGTTTCTTAATTTTTTAAATCATGATCCATAGTCAGAAATACATTTTATATTGTGATTGAGTATGTAAATCTGTGTATGTTTGTATCTGAAACAATGCTTTGCCTAAGCAAAGCATTCTGATTTCTTGAATTTTATTTTTAAAAACTAGTTTGATTTCATGACTCAGTGATGGGTTGAGACCTGCAGTTTTAAAAACATTTCACTTCCTACCAAATTCTCATAGTAAATCCCTGTGAAAAAAATTCTACTACTAAGGAGCCTTCTGTGATAGCCAATCTCTCCTATAATGCAGTTGGAGAACATGCTGGTCTTAGTTGCCAGCAACTTGGCCATTTTTCAGAGACCACTCCCCACCTATTTCATTCTCAGAAACCTATCAAACACATAGACCGAATATGTACAGTCACCCCTCCAGCTTGTGCTTAAACACCTTCAGGGGGTGGGCTGGAGATAATAGTTGACTGTCCAGATAAGCCTTTCCCTTACTGGATAGCTGGTCAGAAAGACTTCGCTACACCTAGTTGACATCTGCTGCTCTGTAAATTCTTCGAGTTCTAAGATGAAGATAAAGTAATTTACTTTCCACATTCTCTTCCTCTTTCAGATGTTGACCCTTTAAACATTTGAAAGCAGCTGTCACTGCTTTTTGGTCTCTTCTCTAAGCTAATATGTCACTTCTTTTCATTGTTTTTCATATAACAATTTACAAAACCTTAACACGTCATTCATATCCTTCTAAATAGTCTCAGATTTATTATATATATATAATGTATATTTTATACACACACACTCCTAATGGGTCCTGACTAAAGTAGTGATCACCTCCTTGTAATTGTACACTGAATATAGTTCATTAATACAACCTATAATTTTCCCAACAACCACATTACATTAGCTCCCATGTAAAAGGTATCACTTAAGCTGTCTTTTAAAGATAAGAATTCAGCATTCTAAGCAAAAGGAGGAGCATTTGGGAAAAAAAACCCGCAAAGGCATAAGAAAACACAAATTCCACAGATTTCAAAAACTTGCAATGCTACATTCTCACATTTCCTTTTAATTATCTAAGAATGGTAAGTAAGTTTAGGGTGAATTTTAGCTTTGCCCAAAATCAAATATACTGATGATATGCTTTTGATTATAAGTGCTGTCAATATTTGATTTTTTACTTTGATTCTTCAACTGCAAGTTAACTTTTTAGTTTGTGAAACTGTACACACTAAAGTAAGAATGATGTAATAATCAAATTAAATTAGGACTCATGGAGATTGTCAAGGAACTCTACCTATTTATTTTATAGTTTATCTTGAATCTGTTGGGCTGTGCCAGTTCCTGGATCCTTTTAGAAGGTCGACTAAGCAGTGCTGGAGAAGGGATCTCCCAGATGACAGATTCTCTACCACAGCCATAGTAATATTCAGCCCTGAAAGTTGTAGAAAGTAAGAGGAATGAAATAAGCATAAATTCAAATGATCTTAGTAATTTCCAGCATTGAGTCCCCAGGCAGAGGGAGCAGGTAGAATGGTTAGCCCTTTATTGCTCAGCTATTTTCCACATGGGAAGAAATCAGAAATATTAACAGCCATCAAGTTTTTAAGAGGCTTCTAATATCCTATTCCAAAATAGATAATTTTCTATAATAATTACATTGCATCTTCTAAATAGAACAAAAAATAAGTTGATGAAAAGAGAAATGTGTTGCTTTTTGAAACTGAGTACTTTCGGGCCTCCCCTGGTGGCAAAGGCAGTTGAGCACAGCGCTGTGAAGCTGTCCGCAGCCTCTGCAGTGTGAGTTCGATCCCTGATGGCCTAGCCGGCGAGGGTCCCACATGGCATGGCAGATCTCTTCTGTCTTGCCCGCTGCTCCCCTCAGTAGTGTACTTCGTCAGTCTGCCTGTTCTGCTCCCCACTCTGTCTCTGGTGAATCCTCTCACCTTCCTGCGCATCTGGTCTGTACCCCGGTTCTTGTATAAATAAATAAATCTTTAAAAAAAAAAAAACAGGACTTTCTCTGGCACCTATATAATAATTTTAAATAGTTTTACTATGCTTTTAGTTAATAGGATGAATTCCATCCATACTCTGTGTTAAGGAATAAATTCTGCTTGATCACGATATGGAGGTTATTTAATAATGGTTTTTGTTAACTGAGATTTTATGTAGAATAAATAATACTGTTCTTATCACTCCTGTCCCTCCACCCTTCCTTAATCAGAACATATCATCAGTGAAAAATAAAGTGAGGTTGACTACTTCAGAACTGGAGTTAACTCGAATTACTGTCCCACTTCTGCTTTTATTATTTCCCAAAAGACCTCTGCCCCTTAAGCATGTTCACGGATGTGGATCTGTGTTCATCTGCCCAGGCACTGGCTGCTGGTTGCTAATCTAAGTATTGGTTTGCATTTAAGCTGTATGTCCTTTGTTTACAACCACCTGGCCTTGATGCTTGTCCATGCCACCCACCATACATGTGCTTTAGGGCACTCGAGACCTCCCAGTCCAAGCTCCACTATCTGACAGCCAGCCCACCCACGCACCCACCGAGGCAAGTTCAAGCAGGCAGGGACCCTCCAGCACTTACTGGGGATTAGCTTTTTGCAGGAAATGGTGGTTTGGTTTGGGAACTAGAGATATAGGAGGAAGAGGTGACTTTGAATAATGGGGCACTTCAGAGAGATTAGCCCCAGTAAGGAGGACCATAAGGATGGGAGCAAGAAGTGATTGAGGAGCACAAGGCAAAATGCACTTGAAGAGCAGGGAAGTGGAAGAAGCCCAAGAAGTAGGTGAAAGATACAAAAAAGGAAAATGGGAGGACACAAGTAATAGAACTCATTTATTCAACATTCTCTCGTGTGTGGCAAACCTCAAAAGTCATGAATATATGTGCTGACCATATTACTTATGCCTTTTGCTGCCAACACAGAGGCGTATATAAGTGCCCCAGAAAATATGTAGAAAATAATATATTTTAAGGCAGTTACAAAGATTAAATAAGTGTATCTATCTGGCTCTTTCTAGCAAAAGTTTGCTGACTTTTGACTAAAGTTGCATATTGAAAGAGATAGAAATGGCTGCTTCAATTACTTTGGAAACTAAATTTCAGATAACAAATAGTGTCTTCACCTTTTCTGTTCCCTTAATTTCCCTCACTGCCTGCCCAGCCCTCCACAGTCTTCCCTCAAAAAGCCAACCCAGAAGAAAGCCTGGTCATTAAACATGCATAAAAGCAACTGGCAGGGTAGGTCCAAAGCCTTAACAACCTTCTTACATTTAGATGCAGTAATTACCTCTGGTTATCAAACCCATGGGAATAATTAAAAATTCATGACAATTTTCATATACAAATAAGTTCATTCACAACAGTGTCTAATAACAGAACTACCTACTCAATAAATTATCTTTCTTTTAAAAAGTTTAGAATTTGTAATACACAAAAATGTACTATGCAAATTACATGTTTATTATCACAGAAAATTTAAGTAGGTTACATATAAAAATATGTACATAGACACAGAAAAGTGATTAGAAGAAAATATGACAAAATGTAAATAATTGTTTTTTCTGAGTTACAGACCTACAGGAGACTTTTGTCTTTTTTAAAAAATATCCTTGTTATACAGCAGAGGATTCAGGATAATTTTAAAAATCTGGCAGTATGAAAATATGCTGGACACATACCATGGATGAATTTCAAGGGGATTTTAGAACTTCCCTCCTCTCTTCCTCACCTAACCCTCAAAATCCCTTGTAACTTCTTTTTTGTCCATGTGCCCCAGTGTCCCATCCTTAGCTCCTTTCTTTTTCTGGCCTAAATGCCTCCCATGGGTGAGTCTGTTCTCTTGTATGGACTTTACTTCCATTCTTTTGGTGCTGCCCTCTCTCCTTATTCACATTTCTTGGGTTCCCAGTGCAATGTGCTCCAAAACCACCAACTTCATGTTTGAAACAAAACTTTTTTAACCTGTTATTAATTAAAATGGGTACACTTTTCAGAGTGATATTTATAGGTTACAAACATTCATATTGTTAGGGGGAAAAGGATGTCCCAAAGCAAATTCCATATAGGCTTTGTGGACTCCACCCCCACTCCAGGCCAAAGCCAAAGACACTGGGAACTCCAAATCCCATCACCACCAAAGGGAAGGTGGCTGGGACCTGAGGGTGGGGTTAAGCAGCCAGGTGGATATAAAAGGCAGACACGTGGGCTTTGGGGGACCCCATTTTGGCTCTCCACCAGCTCGCAGCTTCCGGCCAGCTCTGAGAGTGACTTTGGGTTTCCAGGTCGTCGGATCGGGTAGGACGCATTAAAGACTTTATTTCCCTATTTTCTCCCTGAGTTGTACATTTTCCTTATTTCCTTTCCTCTTGAAAATAAACTTTTTATTAACCTTTTTGTGTGTGTCTGTAGTAGAGTATTCATAAGTCCCTTTAAAGCGCGCGGGTGAGGACCCACACCCAAACGGGATATTAAACCCGTTTAATATCGGGGTTGCTCTATAACAATATATTTGTTTTTAAAATTTTATTCAAAAATCTGAATTTGACAACTTTTTGAATTCCTAAATTACTTTATTTGTCTGAACAAAAGAATCCCAGTTGTACATTATTCATTTCATCTTCTTTCTAGAAAATACATGAAGGAGACTGGCATGTTTGGTGACCAGGCTGCCATTAAATTTAATTCTGAAAATACATTGTGATAGTTGTTGCAGGAGCTAAAACAAACAATACATAATGATTGCTTTTAAGGAGTTTGTCATCTATTATTGGTAATTCACACAAGACAGAATAAAGTGACATGTAAGAAGTCTATTCTCTTAGAATTCAGAAAAGGAGAGACTGTATTTCCTTGGGAAAATACTGAAAAGGAGAAAAAAACACTGAAAGGGAGAAAAATAAAAACCAACTCTTCCATATTCCTAGTTTCTCTTTTTAAATTAACTATAATGACTTCCTATGATTATACCAGGAAAAATATGTGTGTGTGTACACATATATATCTTTTGTTTTTAAACAAAGGGAATCTTTAGTGTGTATATGTTGTTCTCTGTGGTTTCTGTCTGGTAAAATCCCTGATTTTAGCTTTTTAGAGGTGTGTTCTCCAAACTTGAGTCAATTATATATTATCTACATACATATTTGTATACTATTAAAGTATTAATTATAGAATCTTTCAGGCATCATTAAGGAATTTTCCAATGGCAAGACAGGGAGAACTAAGAGGAGAAGGGAGGGCCTCCCCGGTGGCGCAGCGGTTGAGCGCTGGGTTGCGAAGCTGCCTGCAGCCTCTGCAGCGCCGGTTCCATCCCTGGCTGCTCCGCGACCTCTGGAGGAGGGTCCCACATGGCACGCAGACCTCTCCTGCCGCCCGCTGCTCCCCTCAGCAGTGTACTTTGGACCTTCTGCCTGCTCTGCTCCCCGCTCTGGCTCTGGTGAATTCTCTCACCCTCCTGCGCTTCTGACTGTACCCAGTGCTTGTATAAATAAATAAATAAATCTTTAAAAAAAAAAAAAAAAAAAAAAAGAGGAGAAGGGAGTGACTAGTCTTCTGAAAGAGTCTAAACAGATGGTTCTTTATCTCTTTAATTTCTAAAATTTTTTCCATGCTAAAACCAAAGGACTTAACTTGAAAAAGTAATGGCTTGTTCTGTAGAATTCCTGAAAGCTACCTAAAGGGATGTTTTCATTACTATAGACTAAGTCTTGAATACCCACACCTTCTTTTTTTTCTTTTTAAAGATTTATTTATTTATACAAGCACTGGGTACAGTCAGAAGCGCGGGAGGGTGAGAGAATTCACCAGAGCCAGAGGGGGGAACAGAACAGGCAGACTGACGAAGTACACTGCTGAGGGGAGCAGCGGGCAGCAGGAGAGGTCTGCGTGCCATGTGGGACCCTCGCTGGTGGCCGGGGAAACGAACTGGCGCTGTAGAGGCTGTGGGCAGCTTCTCAGCCCAGCGCTCAACCACTGTGCCACCACAGGAGGCCCTACCCTCACTTTTTTAAAAAAAGAAAAATCCTGGCCAGTCAACACATTACAAGATAAAATGCCAGCCTGCAAGAGTTAGACATTAAAACTTGATCTAGAAAAGATGGACAAATGTATCAGATTGGAAACAGCTACCTGCATAAATTAGACAACAGATGGGAAAGTTTTGGACTAAAAGGATGTGTTCTATATTCATTTTCCCTAAAGCGTCCTCCTCATTAGTATAGCAGTGAGTATCACCACCTGCGCTTTTCCTTAGAGACTCCTGATTAAGAAACCTGATAACTACAAACACTAACCTGTTGGGTACATATCGGTAGGAGACTTCCTTGGGTTGGGCAAGGTTGTCAAGTCTTTTGGTTAGCTGAGCCCTCAAAGCACTCCGGGAAACAGGGACAATAGGATCTTGATTACCCCAAAACAATTTTCTGGTGGCAGATGAGAGGCACAGGTTGTTTGGTGGAGAGGAAAAGAAACAAAACAAACAAACAAAAAACAAATGTAAAACATTTGTAAATGTTTTACAAATAATTAAAACAGTAAAACAAATAATAACAACTTAAAGTATAACAAAATACTCATTATTTTACCATCAACAATATGGTATTACATTAGAATGCAGAACATGACAAATAAGATGATGTTTCATTAGATATAGTGTAGTAGAATCTTTACATATTAATAGTTCAGTGATGACAAACAGAGAGCATGTTCTTTTAAAAAATTATTATCTCACTTAAGGCCCTAACAGAAACAATGAATTATTAGCAGCACTGAGGAAAAAAAGTGTTTTCTGTTAAAAACCAGAAAAATGAAATGGTCAGAAATTCACTGCTCATGGACATTTAAAAAATGGCTTTTTGGCGTCCCTGGTGGCGCAAGGGGTTAAGCATCACACTATGAAGCAATCCACAGCCACTACAGCACTAAATCCAATCCCCAATCCCCGGCTGGCCAGAGAGAAACCCACATGGCAAAGTAGACCTCTCCTGACTTGCCAGCTGCTCCCCTCAGCAGTGTGTTTCAGTCAGTCTGCCTGTTCTGTTCCACACTCTGTCTCGGGTGAATCCTCTCACCACCACCCCCATCTGTGGGACCCTCGCCGGAGGGCCGGGATGGAACCGGTGCTGCAGAGGCTACAGACAGCTTCACAGCGCTGCTTTCAATCGCCTGCACCACCAGGGGTGGCCCAAATAAATAAATCTTTAAAAAAAAAAAAAAAGGCTTTTGACAGGCTGATTTTACTTTACTTCAAGAACTCAATCACAGAATTTTACAATTTCCAGGCATCGGTAATGGATGAACAACTTGTAGAAATTAAAATAAGACTTCTGTACTACTGTATCAAACATGGTGACCCAAAAATGAACCTGTTAGAAATACGGATAATTTCAGAACAGTATCTCCAAGTATTCTCAAGTATTTTCTGAAATTCTAAATCTGTATTTCCAAATACTAGGTCTCACAAGCATGCCACATGACAAATGCAGTATCCGCCCAAGCCTACCCTGCTAATATTTCCTTTCACAGTCCTAGAAGCATTTCCCACCTTATTTCAAAAAACAAACACCAAAAAATCCTACTTGACTCCTCTCCTCCAGATTTTTTTATTTCATTGATCACTAAGTCTTTACTATCTTTACTCAAACTGTTCTTTTAGCTCTAAAGGTCTCTGCCTTAAAAGAAACCTTGAGTGTTTCTCTCCTGCATCATTGTAATAGCTCTAAATCAATCTTCCTGACTTTAGTTCTCTATTCCATCAAACTCACTGAGCTTTCTGAAATGTCAGTATCATATTATGTAAGCAGTGGACTTTGTGGGCAACAGATATTGACACAAATTCCAGTTTTGGTGCCTGTAAGCTGGTGAGTGCAAACAGGCCCCAGGTGATTCCAATGTGTACACAAATTTGAGAACCACTGACCTAGAGTCAGCCTCCATGTGTGAGGTGATAATATTGACTCAGTGGATCCATCAAGCAAAAAACTAGATACATCTTATGTTGGGTTAATAGGCAGATAAGAGTGATACTTACCTATTTAATGTAAGGAACACAATCATCACAAATAAGACAATAGAATATTGCCTTACCTATCTGGGACTCCCCAATCTTTTTTAGGCCTAGAAAGATCTTGAATTCTCTTCCTAGAAAAAAACCTAACAAATACCAACTGATTAATTCAAAAAGAATGCTAAATAAATGTGATTACAGTAGATGACTCTTACTCAAACATTTCCCATCTGAGGGGTGAATATTTGATGTGATTTAAAGAGTGCCAAAAAGCTCAAAGTATTCATATATATTGTGAGCCCCAAGTTTTCACTCCTAGAATCATTAATATTATATAACAAAACAAAGACAATGGATATGCAAAAACAAAAACAAATTAAAAAAACAAACCAGAGCACATTCTCTCCAGAATACCCAGGGTAAAACACACATTAGTTAATGGAAAAAAATCCTCCATTTACCAAAGTCTTGATAGCACTGGATTCTGAAGACATTTTACAAAAAAATTTTAGACATACTGTTCTGCCTAACACTTAACATGAGTTCTTCAATAGAGTACTATTAATGTTAGAATAAGCCCTGGCCTTGGTGTCAGGTAGGATTCAGCCTGACACAGCATGTGAAAACCCAGACATAACCTTCCTAAATGGTGACTGATGCATCATGAGCCCTTTTCAGAAAGAGGATTAATAGGAACTCCCAATATTGCACATTTACAAAACTGAACCACCTGAAGATCAAGCTAAAATTCTTCAATCAGATTATTTATTTCCATGTTACATTGTGTTTAAATCACTTGCATTGCCCCTCAACCTTTATTGATGACTTACTTGCCTCTCATAGCCTTACCTGTGCTGTACAGTCCTGAAACTTTAAGGATTCCATGCACACAAAGCAGGCAACAATATTAATAACTGTGGACAGTTTCCCTGTGCAGTGGTGGGATGGCATAGAGCAGGATCTCTATGACCCGAGCAGACCAGTGAAGGAGGAGAGTCCTGGATCCCTCAGTGGCTTTTTCAGGCTTTAACTGAGTTTACCAGGTACCAGCAGGAAGGGGTGCCTGGGTGGCCGGGAGGTTGGCAGGCCTCCTAGGCCCCGGCAAATCTTCACTCTTCCTGGGCTCTCTGGCGTTCTCTCGTGGCCTCTGCTTCTCTTGTTCTCCTTCCCAGTGCCGCCGTCTTTATAGGCCCGTCTCAGCCCAGGTGAATCCCACCTACATATGCCCACACCCCAATCCATGTGCCGCCATCAGGCATGCATTCAGGACCGCAGGGATCCATCATCAATCCTAATGGCAGGAGGGCAGAAAAGCCTGACAATCATTTACCCTACACCTGGGACCAGTTTGGTAGCGGCAGCGATTAGTCTCAGGGGCATGGAATACCCGGTCCAACAACTCTTCTCATGTAAGAGATTATTATCCCAGTACCAACAATGGAGATCTGGATTTTATAATTTTTAGGTGAAGTGTCATTTTCTTATACCCGGACAAGTTACTGAATTCACTGGGCTTTAGTTCATCTGTCCAACAAATATTTGAGTATGTACTATATACCAAGTAATATTCTAGGCCTGCGAGTATACTGTCAAATGAAATAGACATTTTTCTCTTCGAATTGGGGTGGAAAGGCAATAAATGAAATAAAAGGAGAATGTGGCGCATGTAATGGGGAGAAGGTAGTAATTTTAAGCAGGATATCAAAGGCCACATTACAGATCAGGTTATATTTGGCCAACCACTAGATTTTTCAGGGAAGGATTTTTCAAGGTAAAACCCAGATTTTTCAGGGAAGAATTATCCCATTCCAGTGGTAATGGCAAGTGCAGAGACCCAGGACAGAGAATTCCTATGTGTTTGAAAGGTAACCAGTGTAATTATCCACATCTAGAAATGAAAATAACTATAACCATTTCACAGCAAGGTGTGCCTAGCACATTCTAACTGTGGAGTGGCACTCAGTAAATGCTAATTCCTTTTTCCTTTTTCACCTAGCATGATACACTGCAAGTAAATGTATAGTAAATATTCACTAAATGCTGACAGAATTTAATTAAAATTTGTATTGAATTGTTTTAAGTATAAACTTAGCTTAAGCACTCCATAAGGGAAAATTGTAGAACTCTCAGCAAACCAGGTAGTGATACATTTATGATTTTTTAGCACTCAAGTAACTTGCTAGATAAAATAAGGTGGCAAGAATGGTACCTCATCTCCACCCTTCCTCCCCCAACATCTCAGATTCTGGAATAACTCCCCCTTTTCCTATTTCCACCCACCTGTCTGCATTTTGTCAAGATTTTGCACCTTAATTCAAAGATTCCCAATCTGAAGTTTCCAAATACTTAGGGAATCTATGAAGATAATAATGGGAGTCCACAACCTGTAGAATATTTTGAAAAGTCAAATGGAATCCTATACTACCCATAATCAGGTTGTAGAGGCTACCCAAAATGCCAGATTTGCTTCTCTATATGTTAGTTCATACTGCTAGGAGACTCTGATTAATACTTATATATGCGCTTAGTTTCCAAAAGACTTAACAAATGTTGTGTGTTTTGTGAATAATAAAAAAAAATTTTTCGGGCCTCCCCAGTGGCGCAGCGGTTGAGCGCTGGCTTGCGAAGCTGCCCGCAGCCTCTACAGCACCGGTTCGATCCCCGGCTGCTCCCTGGCCACCAGAGGAGGGTCCCGCATGGTGCGCAGACCTCTCCTGCTGCCCGCTGCTCCCCTCAGCAGTGTACTTCGTCCGTCCGCCTGCCTGCTCTGCTCCCCGCTCTGGCTCTGGTGAATTCTCTCACCCTCCTGCACTTCTGACTGTGCCCAGTGCTTGTATAAATAAATAAATAAATAAATCTTTAAAAAAAAAAATTTTTTTTTCAAGGGCCTCCCCTGGTGGCGCAGCAGTTGAGCACTGGGCTGCGAGGCTGCCCACAGCCTCTGCTGTGCCAGTTCATTCCCCGGCCGCAGGCGAGGGTCCCACAAAAAAAAAAAAAAAAAATTTCAAAACATGAGATTATTGTGGTGGGTAGAGATAATAAAGATTCTTTGATGGCGAAATGTTTGGGATCTGTTATGTAATATGATGCAACTCCAAGCCATGCCTGTTCATATCTAGAACAATGATAATAGTGTTCATTACCAGAAATAAAACCTACATCCTTATTCAACCAGAGAATGGCTTTGCCATGCAGGTATCACATCACCCCTGCTGAGACAGCCAGAGCCAACTTTCCAGGAGGCTGAGTGGGTGGAGGAGAGAGAAAACCATAGCTGCAGACAAAACATCTAATTACACATTAATCGTTTCTAGCAGGTTAGCTTTTCTATTCCATCATCACATCGAAGCCAAGATTTCCCTCTCTACATTTTCCTCACCAACTAACTCATGTTTTTTATGTATCCTTTTATACAAGAGTATTAATGTTTCCTGGCTTACTCCTATAGATACTTAAATTTGATTGTCAAGTCAATTGGAAATAATCTCATTAACATTTGCTAATTCTGTGTGGAGATCTACTCCCTCTCTTTCTCATTCACTTCTTGTGCATTCTGTCACCATAGCTACATCTACAACCTACAAGTCCTCATCTTAACACAAGCTTCCCTTCTCTCTCTGGTATTGCATTACCTCACAATGTCAGTCTTGATCCTGTACAGAAACAAAAGAACGTGGCTGAAGGATTTGAACTTGTGACGGCAGATTTTTTTTTTAATGAGGATTACATTACTGTTCCATGTCTTCATTGATAATTAGTCTCCTATAGTTGGCCAAGAGCTGAGAATGTTTTTGAAATCCTTACCCTGGGTGTAGAGCAGTAAATATACATTTATATAACAACCATTATGGAAGTGATTTCAGATATGTAATTGATGGGAAAATCCAAATAATTGTCTTTCAGGCTCTTTTATTTAACTACGCTGCTTACTTTCAAAAAATATTTTCTTCCCTAATAATCAGACATAGCACATTTTTTAAACAAGAATCTTGTAGAGGATGGGAACAGAGATGGATAATGGAGATAGCAGTTTCCTCCAGAATCAAACCAAATTAACCAAACAAACACAAGCAAGCAGTAATATAACCATAACAACAGCATTTTAAAACCCCATTCTTTTTTTTTTTTAAACTTTTTTTTTTAAAGATTTATTTATTTAATTATACAAGCACGGAGTACAGTCAGAGGCGCAGGGAGGGTGAGAGAATTCATCAGAGCCAGAGCGGAGAGCAGAGCAGGCAGAGTGACGAAGTCACCGCTGAGGGGAGCAGCGGGCGGCAGGAGAGGTCTGTGCGCCATGTGGGACCCTCGCACGGCGGCCGGGGAATGAACCGGCGCTGCAGAGGCTGTGGGCAGCTTCGCAAGCCAGCGCTCAACCACTGAGCCACCGTGGAGGCCCTAAAACCCCATTCTTTTCCCAACCTTTCTTAAGGTATAAACAATGGGTATAAATTATCTTGCTATTTAGCTATAGGGCAGTTTTCTCACTCAGCATTCATTTATTCGAAGTAATTTGTGGCATTTTAAGTGGCTGCCTGGCAATAGTAAATGTTAGTTCTACCAGCTCTACCACTCAGCCACCATACCAACTCAGGAAAGCAACATATTTTCCCTGAATTTCATTTTACTCTTAATAAAATCTAGTTGATTTTTTCTGCTCTACCTACTCAGGAAGAAAAAAACATTTACTCAGCTGCAAAGTACTACATAAAATAATGTAGCCATATTTACTGTCTTAAAGAGGAAGGGGAAAAACAACTAGGAAACATAAAAACAGAAATTGTAAAATGAGTCTAAATAATAACAATAAATGTAACAACAAATATGAATGGTTTTAGTCCACGTATTGAAAGGGTGGACAAAAATAAAATCTGGAGTTATTTACCTCTTTTCATCTAGATGCACCACTTAGGAACTCTTGGTATTTTTCTTTAATAATTCAATTGTTAGCTCTTCTAATTACCTCTTAACCAAACCAAGAGCAGGTATCTATTTTCAGGAGGCATTTACTTTGTGTATCGTAAGTATACACACACTTTTTCTTCCCCGCCCTGGGGAGCACTTCATTGAAATTTCATTAACTACCATACTTAAATTAAAGGCAAGGGGCTTGTGATACATTAACATTTCACAAAATCTATGGCATGAGATTGTCAAAGCAGAATCCTAAATCAATTAAAGGTTCAGACCTAATATGCAACAAAACTGGTCTTTAGCAAAAAGAGACAATGAGTGAATGGAAGGAGAGTTTTTGTACACCTGTCTTCCCCAGCTATTTCTGAATTACTTTCTCTCTCCTTTCTTTTTCCCACCAAAAAAAAAAAAAAAAAAGACCTGTCTAAGAATGGACATTACACCTTCCTAAAAAGAGAGGAAGAAAGGGAGGGAGTGAGGAAAGGGAAGGAGGGCAATTATGACAAAAGGAAAGCAGGCTTCCTGAAACCCCCAAAACATGGGGCCTCCCTGGAGGTGCAAGGGGTTGACCACAGCACTGTGAAGCTGTTCGCAGCCTCTGCAGCGCGAGTTCAATCCCCTGCCAGGGAGCTACCCACATGGCACAGCAGACCTCTCCTGACTCGCCCACTGCTCCCCTCAGCAGTGTATTTCAGTCAGTCTGCCTGTTCTGTTCCCCCACTCTGTCTCTGGTGAATCCTCTCACCACCCCGCCCCCGCACCTCTGGCCTTTACCCCAGTTCTTATTATCATAAATAAATCTTTAAAACATTCATTAAAAAAAAGTTAAAAAACAAACACACTATCACTTTTAATGCCTCACACTGAATCCACCCCAAACAGTTAGGCTGGCCTAAAAATTTTAGAAAATACCTCTATATCTATAGCCTTACCTTTTCCTTACAAATTCACAAGGGTCAGAATCTGGAAAAAAAAAAAAAAAAAGTAAAAGCAAACATTAGTTTCAATAAGAATAAAAAATATGATAAAGATGAAAATAAGACAAATCAGAGAGAAGAAATACCAAAAATCACTATTTAGGGATGTCCCATCAAATATGGCCAATCATGTACCCAAATAAATCACAGATAAATCAAAGAGTTAAATTCTAAAAATTGAATTAGAGCAAACTTAAGGGAATATCTACTTATTCACTGGACTTCAATCAGTTGAAGATTGGCCAAAGATATGGAGGACAAATAAAAATAGATTAAACAGTTTGAAACAAAATTTCTGTGTGTGGGCCTCCCTGGTGGCGCAGCAGGTTGAGCGCAGCTCTAGAGAGCTGTTCACAGCTTCTGCAGCGCTGGTTCAATTCCCAGCCAGCCAGGGAGATTCCCATATGGCGAGGCAGACCTCCTGCAGTGTCTTTTATAATGAAAAACCATGTATACCTGGAATGTCCAGAACAGAAGAAATGACTAAGCAAATAAAAAAAGCATGTTTAGAAAAACATGCTTTCCTTTTTTTTTAAAAAAAGATTTATTTTATTTATACAAGAACTGGAGCACAGGTCAGAGTGCAGGAGGGTGAGAGAATTCACCAGAGACAGAGCAGGGAGCAGAACAGGCAGACAGACCAAAAACACTGCTGAGGGAAGCAGTGGGCAAGACAGGAGAGGTCTGCCACACCATGTGGCTATCTCCCTGGCTGCCTGGGAATCGAACCAGCGCTGCCTCACAGCTCTGCACTCAACCCACTGCGCCACGGGGAGGTTCTCTCTTTTTGTTTTTTTTTTTTTTTTAATGTGGGAAAATTACAGGAGATCATCCAGACCAAGTTATCCAAAAAACAATTATAATAGACCTCATAATGACAGATCGTTCCAGATAATCTCTTCTTAAGAGTTTTTAATCACATCTGAGAGTTCTGAAATAACATTTTCTACCCTTTGGAGTGTTTTGGGTAAATGAAAGCGGGAGCATTCTGGCACCAGACAGACATGGCTCAAACCCTAGCTTTGTTACTTATTCACCTATACAATACTGGGAAAATTACGTAACTTCTCTGAGACATAGTTTTCCCTTCTTAGAAAGGAGGTTAATAGGCAGGTTTGTGTAAAGATCAATGACATATATGTAAAGCACCCTGCAGATCATAGACACAGATAGTAGTAAATAAACAGTAGTTAGAATGATTAGAAGCAATTTCAGCAATCAGCAGCTTCACTGATCATGCACTGGAAGAAATAAAGCAGCCAACTTTTGGTACAATATGGTACCAGGGATGAGAGAACAAAAAACCGAGGAAGATGTTGTCTCTCTTGAGACATTTACCGTCTAGTAGGAGATAGCCTATGTACTTAAAAAAAGAAAAAAGTAAATGGAAGTTTTGAAATCCAACATCTTCTATTACACTGCTTTTAAAAGGCTACACTGTTGCATCAGGCAACACCACACCTGACAGAATCAAGAGTTGTGGAGCAAACTGTTTTGGCAGGATGTTGCCGAGAGGGCAGAACCTGGCCTTTTTATCGAGGGAGTGATTATACAGAGTCAATTACTCAGAGCAGGAGGACAAGGAGAAAAATGTTTAGAAGGAATGTATGTTACGGTTATCTGCACTTTAGGGGAGAGGAGTCTGCAAATCCGAATCAGATTTACAGCCCAGTTGTTTTTTTTTTTTTAAAGATTTATTTATTTATTTGTTTGTTTGTTTGTTTATACAAGCACTGGGTACAGTCAGAAGCGGGGGAGGGTGAGAGAATTCACCAGAGCCAGAGCGGGGAGCAGAGCAGGCAGAAGGACCGAAGTACACTGCTGAGGGGAGCAGCGGGCGGCAGGAGAGGTCTGCGAGCCATGTGGGACCCTCCTCCTGTGGCCGGGAAGCATCCGGGGTTCGAACCGGCGCTGCAGAGGCTGCGGGCAGCTTTGCAACCCAGCGCTCAACAGCTGCACCACGGGGGAGGCCCTACAGCCCAGTTTTATGGTCCAAAGTTTGAAGACCGGAATCAGACTTTCTGACCTTTGTTTCTGGTACCTATCTTGTTAACAAGGCATTCTGCTGATGTCCTCTGGACGCAAAGTTACATATCGGTCAACGGCTCCCCAGGTGTTCCTGGTCATGCCTTGTGACATACACTCATTGTCACAGGAGATTAAGCATCCTGCTCTTATATAAGAGGCACTTCTGCAGGGCCATTAGTTAATTAATTGGTTGGGCCTAATAGACTTTGTACTGATAAGGCTAAACTGCATAGCCAGAATGGCGGCTTAAGCAGCAATTTAATTCTATGAGATCCATACTACACTGACTCAGATCTCAGGAAAAAAAAAAGGGAGATCTATGAAAATGCCTCTTGTGTCCAGTCCTGCTGTCACCCATGAAAAGTTAAAGCCTTTCTTCTGTGGACTTTTCGTGTATGACCAAACTTGGTTGCCAATTGTATTTCCACCTCAGAGAGTCAGTGTAACACTGAATCAATCCTAAAAGTCTACAAATTTTGATTATATTGATGAATAATGCTGTTTTCTATTGCCCTTTCATACTATAATGTCACCCACAGATACATAGCTTTTGCTCTCTAGTTTAGAAACACTTTTGACGTCATCTCATTGATTCGATAGAGGAAATGGCTCTCAGGTGGCCGTTGTTATTAGCTAATGTCCCCAACAAATCAGTGTTAGTGTTACAGTGGTTTTCACATGTGTCTGCACATAAAAATCACCTGGGGATTGTCTTAAAATTCCAGGTTCCAGGCCACTGAACAATTAAATCACAATCTCTAGGGATGGGCCACGGGTATCAGTGTTTTTTAAGTAGGCAAGTTTAGAAACTACTAAAATATTGTTTGTTAGCTAAAAACACTGGCTCAGCAATCAAACTGCCTGGACCCAAATCCTGACTCTAGCCTTGGAACTTGGTTACCTAAGTTCTCTGTACCTCAGTTTTATTTATTTTTCTTAAGGCTGTTTGTAAGTTAAATAATACACATACAGCAATTTGTATAGTGCCCAAATATAGTGTTCAATTTGTGCTACTGAGTGCCCCCAAAGTGTGTGTGTGTGTGTGTGTGTTTAGAGTTGGAATGCCTAGATGAAACAAAATTAGCAAAATGATAATTATTGAAACTAGGTGATGGGTACATGGGGGTTCATTATAACACTCTATTATGTGTATGTTTGAAAACCTCTAGAATAAAAGAAGCTATTTTGTATCTCAAATAACTTAGAAATAAAAATCATATGCCCTGAAAACATCAAGTTACTCAAAGTGACTCTAATGATGACAAATATGCATGTGAAAAAATTAAATGAAGCTTTTTCATAAAATGCCATTAGAAATAAGAACTAAATTAGATCATATACATTAATATCATTTTAATTTTCTCTATACAACTAAATTAACACAATTATAAATAAACATTTATCTATTATATCTTTATCCCTAAAATTTTATATTTTCAAATTGGCCAGAATTTAAAAATTTTTTCTTGCATTCGAGGTTATATTGCAATTTTAAACTGGCAGTATCTTGTTATGTGAAGTTAACCTGTGCATTTAAACACAGCCTTAGTCATCTTATTTCACTACAAAGGAAATACACACGCCACTATAACAGAGTCAAAAATAAATCCCAAATCTACTATTTCCTAATTTAGTGCTTTTTCCAATAGCATCAAGCTGCTTCTTCTAATAAGGATGTACTCAAATTGAAACCCTGTACATAGTTGGAGCCAAAACTCTGAAGCAGAGCTGGCTTCCAACATTCATATTTCTTTGGTGCAAGGACAGGATTGCACACAGCCAGCCCATCTTTACTGGCAGATCTTCCTGGAATACCATTCCAGTGTCACTCCCTGTCACCAAATATTTTCCAACTTCTCCTTCCTTAGACAGTAACTTCAGTACTTCCTCCTATTTAAGGTCAGGTTGAAACCCACCTATCTAGTCACTGCAATATTTCACAGACTTGGATCAAAGTGACATAGACTTGAATGCTGGTTCCACAACCACATGCCTTCAAAAGACTGTGTCTCAGATTCCTCATTTATAAACTGGAGACAAAAAATATGTTGCGGAGTCATACAAGTATGAGCGTTCATTGATAAATGTACGTAGAGGGTCCGGTTGTGGTTGTACCCAACGCCCACACCTCTCAGCTACGCTCTAATTATAGACTGTGCTATATTTATGTCTATATTATCATTTCCTTTAGTTTTTAAATGCCTATGCTTTATATTTGTCCTCCTCAGAGGATATAGTGTACGAATATCTACTAGCTGCATACAGGTTTTCCTCACCATCAAAAATTAGAACTTTCCTAGTTGGTATGACTTGGTAAGTTATGTTTGGGTTTGGAAGTGCTGTTACCATTAACTAATGTGGAAAACTTTTGAGGGTTTCCAGATCCAAAAAAAGCCTATCAAATGATATCAGGTAGGAACATTCTACTTTCCTATAGTGGAGGAAAACGGTTGGCTTATTTTCCCAACTCCAACAAGCATACTATGTACTATTTACTAAACAGTGTAATATTTATTGAGCACTTTCGATGTTAGAAGCATTGCGCTGAGCTATTTCCCTTTGTTATGCCACTTCCACTCCCTTGGTGTCCCCACAGCACATAGCACAGGAAGACCAGGGTGGAGGGGACGTGGAACAGGTTGTAAGGCCCACATCCTGGGCTCAGTCTCTGCTCTGTTACTGTGTATGTCACTTTGAGCAAGTCACTTAAGTCCTCTGTGCCTCAGTTTCTTCATCTGTACTTCATAAAGTTGTTTTAAAGATCAGATATTAAATATAGAACATTCAATAAACATAAGGCGCAGTGAGCTCAGTAACTATTGAGTTAATCTAGAAAATGTTCAGGAATATCCATATGAGTGAACTATTTGATAAATTAATCTATTCCAAGCATTAGACCAGAAAGGGTCAAGATAAAGTCTCCATCTTGCCCTCATGCAACTTGCCTTTTAGATGGAT